TAAAAGAGAGGAGATGAAGGAATAGGTAGGACTTCCTGATAGTGACAGGTAGAAGTGAGCCATACATGCAGGGGTGGGATTCTACCAGTTCGCACCTATTCGCTAGAACCGGTTGTTAACATTCTAAGCAGTTCAGATTTTATAGAATCCCGCCCCTGTCAACCATCCTCCAGAGTTCATTCAGGCTCATGCCAACTGCTTCAGTGACTCCATCTGGCCACCTCATTCTTTGTCGTCCCCTTCTTCATTTGCCCTCAATTTTTCCCAGCATTAGGCTCTTCTCCAGTGAGTCCTTCCTTCTCATTAGGTAGCCAAAGTATTTGAATTTCATCTTTAGGATCTGGCCTTCTAAAGGGCAGTCAGGGTTGATCTCCTCTAGGACTGACCGGTTTGATCACCTTGCAGTCCAAGGGATTTGCAGTAGTCTTCTCCAGCACCAGAGTTCAAAGGCCTCAATTCTTTGGTGCTCAGCCTTTATTATAGTCCAGTTTTCACAGTCATACATTGCAACTGGGAAAACTATAGCCTTGACTAAACGCACTTTTATTGGCAGGGTGATGTCTCTGCTTTTGAATACTGTGGACATAATATATTTAGATTTCAGCAAGGCATTTGATAAAGTAGACCACAACCTACTTCTTAGTAAGCTAGGAAAAACTGGGATAGATAGCACCACCACTAGATGGATTCGCAACTGGCTGGCAAACCATACTCAATGAGTAGTTCTTAATGGGTCTAAGTCTGCACAGAGGGAAGTAAGCAGTGGGGTGCCACAAGGTTCCGCCTTAGGCCCAGTACTCTTCAATATCTTCATTAACGACTTAGATGAGGGAGTAGAAGGGGAACTTACCAAATTTGCAGATGATACTAAGCTGGCAGGAATAGCTAACACCCAAGAAGATAGGCTCAAGATCCAGATGGATCTTGACAGACTAGAACACTGGGCCATATCTAATAAAATGAAATTCAATATAGAGAAAAGTAAAGTCCTACACTTGGGCAAGAAAAACCAAAATTACACATATAGTCTGGGTGAAACCAGGCTTGATAGCAGTAACTGTGAGAGGGATCTTGGAGTCTTAGTGGACAACCAGCTAAATACGAGCCAGCAGTGTGCTGCCACCACCAAACAACTAATACAATCCTAAGTTGTATTAATATACAATCAAGATCAAGTGAAGTACGAATACCACTCTATAAAGCCTTAGTAAGGCCACACCTAGAGTACTGCATCCAGTTTGGTTCACCACATTATAAAAAAGATGTTGAGACTCTAGAAATAGTGCAGAGAAGAGCAACCAGATGATTGGGGGACTGGAGGCTAAAACATACAACGAATGGTTGCAGGAACTGGGCTTGGCTAGTCTAGTAAAGAGAAGGACCAGGAGAGACAGAATAGCAGTCTTCAAATATTTGAGGGGCTGCCACAGGGAGGAAGGGGTCAAGCTATTTTCTAAAGCTCCTATAGGCCAGACAAGGAATAATGGATGGAAAGTGAACAAGGAGAGATTTAACCTGGAAACAAGGAGAAACTTTCCGACAGTGAGAACAATCAACCAATGGAACAGCTTGCCCTCGGAAACTGTGGGAGTGCCATCAGTTGAGACTTTCAAGAAGAGATTGGACTGCCATTTGTCCGAAATGGTGTAGGGTCTCCTGCTTGGGCAGGGGGGTTGGAGTAGATGACCTACAAGGTCCCTTCCAACTCTGATTATCTGTAAATCTGAATAGGCTGTCTAGATTTGCCATGGCTGGTTCAGCTTTCCTCCCCAGGAGCAAGCATCTTTTAATTTCTTGGCTGCAGTCCCCATCTGCAGTGATCTTGGAACCCAGGAAAATAAAATCTGTCACTACCTCTATTTCTTCCCCACCTATTTGCCAAGAATTGAGAGGAAATATGCATGTGTAAAGCTTATAACAATTCACTTGAGCTAAATATTCTATAAATGAATCCTGCTGAATTATTTACTTACGTGTTGGTTGGATTGCTGCAAACTCTAATATTCTTTTATCCCAAAAGTAATTATGGGCTTGTCAGCTGACCCTGAACTCTGAGAATATTTTTCCAATTTTCACTCCTTCAAACTTTAAGTACCTTGGAATGATGCTTCCTGCAACACCTGCACTTTCCCAATCATTCCATTAATGGAGCCTACCAGGACAAGAAAAGAGCCAGGGAAGATGAACTTTTCAAGTTGAATGTCATGCTGTTGCCTAATATGCCTAATTTTGCCTTATGTTGCCTGGTTCCATTATCAAGAAGAAGTTTGGAAGTCTACAAAAACAAAGATCCAGTGGCACCAAATTCACCATTGAGAAGTGAAGTCCCAGACAGCTATTGCATGATGGATTTTAGCCACGCATCAAGTACCTAAACCTAAGCCATTTCCCAAGAGGGCTGAGCTGGATTTCTTGATGGTATTTTGCTGCCCTATGTCACAGGCCACCATCGTCTAAGCAAAGCCCCACCCTGGGCTGTGTGCCTTCTCAGCATCTGTCAAACTAGACCATCCATTCCCAATCTGCATGGGTTTCTCAGTGGAAGTTTTTTTTAGCACTGAACATAGGCTTAAATGTTGCAGGCATGACAACAGGTTTGTTACTATAGGCTCTGGCCTTTAGCTGCTAATCTATCTGCAAGCACAACTGAATTAATTCTTACAATGTGTCCAGGCATTTACTTTTTACTAATTTTTAAAGAATTGCATCTGCCAACCCTTTCTGAAATTGGTCATCAGGAGCAACTGCATTCTGCAAAGTGTGTTTTTGAAGGAGGAGCATGGAAAGGCTCAAGAGCAGAGTCAAGGTTGTAAAGATCTAAGGTTCAAGAGTGAAATTCATATCCAGGGATTACACTTGAGCTAAATGTTTTTCCCATTGAACAGAAGGAATCCAGCCTTATATAGAGGCTGACGCTCCTTGGAATGTTATTGCAGCCAATTCAGTGGTGGGATTTAAATTTTTTTACTATCGGTTCTGTGGGCATGGCTTGGTGGGTGTGGCATGGCTTGGTGATCACGGCAGGGAAAGAATACTGTAAAATCTCCATTCCCTCCCATTCCTGAGGGAAGGTTACTGCCGGTTCTCCAAACTACTCAAAACTCTGACCAGAACTGGTCAGAACCTACAGAATACTACCTCTGAGCCCATTGTTACTCATTGTAATCTTAATTCTGTTGCTGGGAAACTAACCTAATGGAATCTTCCTTCTGCTCTTCTTTCCTCTTGGCTATGACAAGGTAATTTCTCAAGAGCTAAAAGAAAAGAAAAAAAGAGACAAAAGATAAACTTGTCTTGTCCTCTTTTGGATATCTCCTGCTTTAGTTAGATCACCATTAAATATAATTCTGACATTTTTAATTTCTTGAATAAAATTCTCTCCAAAGTCCATGTCTTTCAAACTTTAAATTAAATTTCTCAAAAGCTTTCTCTGGATAAAATTACTGAGATTTGCCCTGATCTGAACAAGGAAGGTCAAGGTGCTTGGTGCATGATCTGGTGTTGTGATCTGGGAGAAGTTTGAGCTGGCAACTCCAAAGCAAATGGATAAAATTCCCCGAGAAATCCAGAAACCCCCCACAATGCTGGGTTTTTTTTTTAAGAGTTTTGAACATTTTGCCCTTTCTACCTGCTTCAATTTGGGAAAGACCTAATAGTAAGATGAGGAGCACTGCGGACAAAGATGAGAGCAATTACCCTGAAAAAGGTTCTCAAACCAATTTGACTAAAACAGATTTCCAGATATTACATCATGGGCTTTTTATTGAAAAGCTTTGTAGAGTTGGAAATGTGAAAAATGTGAAGGGACATTTTATTAGGCTCAGTGGACATGCAAAAAAGATTTAAAATAGTTTTCAAATATGGAAAAATTTAAAGATAAATATTCAATATATCCTTTGAGGATTGTTAGAAGAACAGTTAGGAAAATGCCATGGAATTTAAATGCACATACACACAGAGAGACATGCACAGAGGGGGGGGGATATATACCTGCAGGAATTGAATTTAATCCAATGTTCTGTGTAAGATTGTAAATTAAAGATTAGCTCAGCTATATTCAATGAAATACATCATTCAAAGGAGGACTCAGAGAAGAAAAACAAATTAAAAAATGAACAGTTAAAAAAATAAACAAAACATTTCATACCAATCTTTGAAAACTAAGTTAATCACATACATGGTTTGAAGAAAATTGGCACATGTATATGATTAACAGTTTTTCTCTAAAACAACAGAATAACAGAAGACACTGTAAAAAAAAAAAAAACGTGGCCATTGTTGGGGTCCCAAGTAACAGCCCAGATGAAATCAAAACTCCAAGGCCAGACGCTTCCTCAAAGTACAGAATTATTAGGCATGTTATCTTGGCACAGCTGGTGGAAATCCAATTCTGAAATTCCTTGAGTTTTCCCCACCCAATTCAAAATCCAAAGTTCTTCCCTCCATTACACACAATCATTACAAGCCCCAATCAGTCCCAAATCCAGATGGTTTCTATCCATGCCCCTCCAGGTGTTAATGATAGTGTCCTTGGTTCCCAGAAGAAAGAATGTTATTTTGGCTACATATTCCCTTCAGCTATCTCTACTCCCCATTCCTTTCCCACAGCTCTATCCTGCCTCATTGTGGCAACCCTGAAGAATTGCAAGATGGTTCCAGGGTTGACTATGTGTTCCTGAAGATGCATCAGCAAAACCAGACTTTTTCCACATTGGTTATAGTTGCAGATGGTGGCACAGTTGTTAAATACAACATATTTATCCTGGTCCGAGAAGGAATGAGAAGTGCTGAGAACTTCTTGGGTGCTAGAAAGATATAGCTATGATACACCCAACCAAACTTATTTCTGGTAATTTGAAAACCTATGTGCTAATTTCTGGAGGAATTCTTTATTTGAATGGGATGTCCTTGCAAACTTTCATTTCCAAAAATTAAGATCATGTCTTCTGAATCAGACCAGGACCCATTTTTATCTCTTAGCACCTTCCTCTAACTCACATTTATACATTTCTTCTGGTTGTAAGATGCTCCTTTGTATTTAAGTCTGGCCTCAAAATGATAATGTAGCACTTGGGGATGAAGATACAGACCAGCAGACCAGCACTGGAGGTCAAGATGGAGAAGACCTGCACAGCCACCATGTATTTCCCTTTGGTGCTCAGGTAGGTGGGCAGGAAGGAGACCCAAACATTGCAGAAGACCAGCATGCTGAAGGTAATCAGCTTGGCTTCATTGAAGGTTCCAGGAAGATTCCTGGCCAGGAAAGCCACTGTGAAGCAAATGGCAGCCAGGAAGCCCATGTAGCTGAGGGTGATGTAGAACATGAGAACAGAGCCTTCGTTGCATTGCAGGATGATCTCTCCAGGCTGGGAATGGAGGTCAGAGTCATGGAATGGGGGAGAAATTCCCAACCAGATGGAACAGATCATAATTTGGACACTAGAACCAGAAAGGATGATGGAGTTGGCCAAGCTCTTCCCCAACCATCTCTTCACTCGGTTTCCTGGTTTTGTGGCAAGGAAAGCCAGCACCACTGTGATGGTTTTGGCCAAGAGAGAAGAAATGGCAACTGAGAAGATGATGCTGAAAACTGTTTGTCGCAGAAGGCAAGTAGCTTTCCTTGGTTGACCAATGAAGAGAAAAGAAGACAAGAAACAAAGCAGGAGGGAGACCAGGAGGATGTAAGAGAGGTCTCGGTTATTGGCTTTCACAATGGGAGTTTCTAGATGTTTAATGAATATGATTAAAACAAGGCCTGTAGCTAAGAACAAGAATAGGGCAAAAGAGACCAGAATGATTCCCAGATGTTCTCCATAAGAAAGGAAAGATATAACTTTGGGGATACATTGGATCCTGTCCACATTTGGATATTTTTCATCTGGACACTTGGTGCATTTTTCTGTATCTGTGTAAACAAAAAAAGCAATATTTTTTAAAATATTCTGTAGTTTTATGAAATACCTTCTTGTAACCACAATTGCTACCAGCAGCATTTTCCGAGAAGCATTGCTTAAAATATCTACAGAGAGAAGGTAAGAAGAATATCATTTTCTAAAAAAAAAAAAACCAGCTATATTTTTATAGTTTATGAAATTGAAAAAAGTCCTGGAACCTGGATGGTTTATTGTGCAGTTTGCAGAACCTACATTATTACAGGTAGATAATGAATTAATTATTTTTTTCTAGCACATTTCCTGGATCCTGACAGATAGCACTTCTTCATATACTTGGCTCTGAATGCCTACCTTTTGAAATCTAATTAGCTAGGGGGAAAAGTTAGTTCTGCAAATAATCTGGAATCCAAACTAAAAAGCAGAAGAGATTTATTTTCTGGCAGTAGAGAAGCTTGTCCAATCTGCTAAACCTTCCTATCTCTTTCTAGGGTTTTCCTCAGGGTTTTTTCTGCTATTCTTCCCTCTAGATATGAAATTGTGCAATTTGAAAATAATAGCAATAGCAACAGTGCTTAGACTTATGAACTGCTTCATATGTTTTACAGCCCCCTCTAAGCAGTTTACAGAGTCAGTATATTGCCCGCAACAATCTAGGTCCTCATTTTACCAACCATGGAAGGATGGAAGGCTGAGTCAACCTTGAACCAGGTGAGAATCAAACTGCCGAATTGCTGGCAAAAACAAAAAAAAACCATTTGAGCTTCAATTTGTCTCTTAATTTGCACTTTCATGACAGTGTTCCAGATAAACCCATTGGACAAGGCCCACCCTTTTCCTTGGTGTCCCCTACCTTCATGAATGGAGACGGTCCCCTCAGGACAGGGAACACAGTCAAAGCAGCAAATGGGCTCTCCTTCTTGCTTTTGCTTGACAAATCCAGGACGACAATTTTTCACACATTGGGACTGAGGCAGAGACTAAGCAGAAAAGAAAGGAATTCGAAAGAAAATAGATTGGGACAAAGCATGCATGAAAATGGAGCTAGACATTAACATTAGCCAAATAGTTTCTGGGCTTCACTTAAATAAGTCTGAAATCATTGACTCATTCCAAACAGATTCAGGAGAGATAAATGCTGGCAGATTGTTCATTTACTCACTCCCCTTTGATCTTGTTATCTAACATTGAAATAAAGGATTTTTCAACTTAAGAAAGACTGGAGGCAGAGCAATGGTGGGATTCAATTTTTTTTACTCCCGGTTCTGTATGCGTGGCTTGGTGGGTGTGGCAGGGGAAGGACATTTTAAAATCTCCAGTCAGAAGTGGTATTTGCCGGTTCTCTGCTCAAAATTTCCGCTACCGGTTCTTCAGAACTGGTCAGAACCTGTTGAATACCACCTCTGAGGCAGAGATGGTATTCAGCAGGTTCTGACTAATTCTAGAAAACCGGTAGTGGAAATTTTGAACCATTTAGAGAATTGGTAGTGGAAAACCTGCAAATGCCACCTCTGACTGGCTCTGCCCCATCTATTCTCTGCCTCCTGAGTCCCACCTGATTGGCTGGGTCTTTTTTTGTTGCCCTGAACAGGAGAACAGAGCTGGAAAGCAGGTTAGTGGGGTGGGTAGGGAATGGAAATTTTTCAGTATCCTTTCCCTGCCATGCCCACCAAGCCACGCCCACCAAGCCATGGCCACAGCACTGGTAATAAAAAAAAAAATTGAACCCCACCACTGACTGGAGGGATGGAATTGAAAAGATTTAAGCCTTAAGTGACAACAAGTTTGTTTTAACATACCTTTCTCCATTCTTGACATACCTATGATATTAAAGTACAGTACAATGATCTTGCATTAAATTTTGGAAAATAAATGATTGTAAAAGATTTATTTAATTTTTATTATATTAGATTTATTAAATAAAATATAATTGTGGTAAAGAAAGAAACTTTGGATCGGTAGGATCTGGATAGGCTTCTTCTGGAGTATGTAAAACATTGCAGAACTTCTTCCCTTTGAAAGTAGTCCAAAACTATTCCTCAATTAAGATATAAAGGGGAAAAATCCTTTAAATTAGGGCTTTCTTTAATTCATACAGCTCTCAAATAAGACTAAAACAGACTGCCTAGTTTCTAGAACTAGGAAGCTGTGTAGTAGATGAAGGCCAAAAGCACATTCCAAGCTTATCTTGTGGAGATTGTAGCCTAGGCTACTGGATCTTCTGCCCGCGAAAATCCTTCATTGGAGAGCGTGATTGATGACACCCAGCCTGTCAATGTGTTTCATTGGAGAATCTGATTGATGACACACTCAGGGGGGTGGGGGAGAAATAGGGTCATAGGTGATAGTAAATTGCATGTCTCAGAGTTGGCTTCATATGAGTTAGTGCCAGATACATTGCTTCTAATCAATCTTTTGAATTCTTTTGAAGCTTGGCTCGAGGCTCATGATTTAATTAGGGTAATGGTTGGAACCCCTGACACTGGGGCGAGATGGGATGCAGGAGAGGCCATGAGAACCTGTCCCTCAAAAAGGGATCTTTTCATCTTCAGCAAGCAGGACAAGATTAGGAAACATGTGTCCAGCTCTGCATCTGGGTCTTTTTCTAACAAAGAACTACAACTAGGGGACACCAACTTACATGGAAAGACAAGTATACATTTCTTATTAGTTAAATTTGAATCCTTCTTTTTGCTCAGAGGGACTTTATGTAGCTAACAATAAAGTTTTAAAAAATTGCATTCAGATTGTTGGCAGTTAAAACCCACCCCTCTCCTAGAAAAAATGAAATATTTTAGGATAAACTAAAAAGGAAGAATATTTCCCCTAAAAGGGAAGTTGAAACTCAAAGAGGCCGAAGCTCACCCTCTCACCTTTGTTAATGGGCCATTAAGGCCTGGCCCAGTCTATTCTACATAGCAAAGATCTACCTCCTTCAGGCAGAGCCATTTAATTGCCTTTTCTTGCACCACTCACCAAGTTTAAACCAAACTTAGAAACGGACAACCTAAAAAGCTAGCTCTGACCTCTGACAGCAACCAATCAGAATATTCTTTCTGTGTCCCAGGAAGTTCAAAGTCAGAGAGTGTATAAAACCCAAGGTCTCTAAGCATCTCTTCCCTTTTCTTCGCCAAAGAGCTCCAAGCCATGTGATCCTGTAGACCAGGGGTCCCCAACCACCGGGCCATGGACCGGTACCAGTCCGTGGATCATTTGGTACCAGGCCGCAAAGAAAATAAAAATAAAATAAAATGGCAGCTTTCTTCGCCTTCGGTGAATGCTGCTGGGATCAGGGATCAAGGACACAAATGAAAGAAGGGGAGGGAGGAAGCAACCAAAGCCTGTCCTGCTCTCCGGCTCAGCGGCTTTGGTTTCCTCCCGCCTCGTTCCTCTCTCAGTCGCTCTCTCGCTCCTCCACCAGCCCAGGAAGAAACTGCTTCAAAGAAGCCGGCAGGGTGGCTTTTCCCGCCGCCTGCGGTTCAATCCAGTGCTCCATTCTGCCTGCCTGCCTGCCTTCGTTTCTGGTTGTTTTGGAGTAGCTTTGGCTGAGAATAATAACTATTCGCCTCTTTTACTCAGCCGAAGCTGCTCCGAAACAACCAGAAATGAAGGCAGGCAGGCAGGCAGGCAGGCAGGCAGGCAGGCAGAACGGAGCACTGGATTGAACCGCGGGCGGTGGGGTGGGGGTGAACGGGTGCTTTGGAGGAGCTGCGCTGACAGGAAAAGCCACCCTGCTGGCTTCTTTGAAGCAGTTTCTTCCTGGGCTGGTGGAAGAGTGAGAGAGTGACTGAGAGAGGAACGAGGCAGACACCTGAGGGATAAGGCTGAGGGAGGGAGGGAGACACCCGAGGGATGAGGCTGAGGGAGGCAGGGCTGAGAGGCGGGGCTTCTCAGCCATCCTGCAGGGACCTGTCCTGAGCCGCGGAGACAGCTGCGGGCCGCTGCCGCCCAGTGCTCAGTTTTGAAGGAGCTCCTCAGCCCGGCGCAGTTCCTGAATCTGCAGCTGAAACCCTTCATTTTAAATGTCCCAATAGAAGAGAATATCTGTCGCTCAGGGTTGCAATGAGGAGGCATTGGCGCTCCCTGAACTTGGTGGTTTGCTGGCAGATGTTTTATTACCCAACTAGGTAACAGCATCAGATGTTATCTAGTCAGGTAATGAAACATCTGCAAGCAAACCACCAAACTCGGACTCCTCCCCCTCCCCCCTCCTTGAAAAAGTGTCCGTGTCCCGTGTCCCACCCCCCGGTCCTTGAAAAAGTGTTTCTGCGTGAAACTGGTCCCTGGTACAAAAAAGGTTGGGGACCACTGCTGTAGACCATTAAACCATCTTTGCAAACAGCCTCCATGTTTCCAGTGTCTTTTTCCCCATTTGGAACTGAACTCAGAAGGATATGTCTTCCAACAAGATTTTACAAGCCAAAGCCCAAATCTAAGTAGCATCTCCTTTCAAATTCTCCCTTGTTACTTCCAGAATGAAAAGGTGTTTTTTCTTCCAATCAAAGTCTTGTTTCAGTGCTTTGGCTTTCCAGGTTATGGGCATTATCTCCTATCAAAACAACCTTTATGATTTCATGTGAAACATGAACATTTTTGGAGCTTCTTCAGAGGAGCAGAACGCCTATTGCTTTATCCCAGTGGGGTGAAAGAGAGATATGGATAATTCTGGCCAAGTTTAGAGGGCTTAAAAACATTATAGAATATCATGGTTTCCTGCCTAGGCAGGGGGGTTGGGCTAGAAGACTTCCAGGGTTCCTTCCAACTCTGTTATTCTATCCTATTCAACCTGTGACCTTTCAAGAGAGACGTTCCTCAATCTGGACAAAGTGAGGCTTATTTCTCACATGGACCAACAGGACCTCTAAGCAGTCATGACTATATTTCATCTTGTTATGTCCCTGGAACTCTAAGGAGTTCCCACTAAGGTCCGTTCGCGTTGCGGGGGCGGCTGCCCCCTTGCTCATTGGTTGGTTCTCCCCAGCAGCCAGCTATAAAAGCAGGCTGCGGGGTCCAACCAGTTGCTGATCGCTGCGAGCCAGTCCCAGGCTTGGCTAGCACGTTCAGTCCTTTATTGTCACAATAAAGTATTTGTTGCACTCATGCTCTGGTTCAGCCTCTCATTACCCAAACTTAACACTGGCGACGAGGATGGGATGGCTACCAGAAGCACAATGCAACCGCTGAATCACTAGCCGCCGATCCGTAGCCAGAGAGAACGATCGGCAGGCGATAAGAGCAACGCTGATCTGCAGCCAGAGAGAGCGGTCAGCAAGCAACGAGAGCGAACGCTGATCCGCCACCAGAGAAAGCGGTCAGCAAGCAACGAGAGCAAACGCTGATCCGCAGCCAGAGAAAGCGGTCAGCAAGCAACGAAAGTGAGAAGCGTCTGTAGCCGCTTGTTAGCCTAGCTACAGGAAAAGTGAAGCGCTGCGAGCCGCAGCCGCTCATTTCTTTAGGCGCGAAATTCAAACGGCTGTCATTTGAATTTCTGCCCTAAAAATACAGCGCGGTGCTGTAAGTCAAGTCACTGACGCCCACGCAGGCGCGAATTTCAAAATGCTGCCAACGGCCGGCAGCCTAACCTCATGTTTAGCCCAGAGAGAGAGAGAGGATTGTGAAAAAGCCTCTCCAGAGCTGAAATCACTTGCCTGCCACAGGCACTAGAAACCTTCTGCTGCTGCCCCAGAGAGATTTTTTCCAACAGATTGTACAACCGATTTCCTCACTATGAATTCCAATCCAGTCTTCCCAGCATTCAAGCCGGATGAGGAGAAGTGGGAGTCATACAAGAACCGCTTTAACCATTACATCGACGCAATTGGGCTGGCTGATGCAGGGGAGCACCGGAAAAAATCATATTTCCTGATCTACTGTGGAGCCATCATCTTTGACACTGCCACAGCACTCGTGGCTCCACGTGAGTTAAAAAACGTTCCATGGTCTGAACTGTTAGAAATCCTTACTAACCACTATTCTCCCA